TTGAAGTTTTCCATATGGGTCAGGTTGATCTCGTCCTTCTGGTCTAGGGTCTTGACCAGCAGGTCAGAAGAGTCCTGCCGCAGGACACTGGGTCTGGGCCCCGGTCGAGATTAAGTTCCGTCCGTCTGTCCCCGCATTTGTATTGTTTCCGCGCTCTGGGACAACAATGAAGGCGATTAAAGGCGTTTTATCCTGCTAACCGCAGCGCGGAGCTCGGCGGTCCAGGACCAGGACCAGGTCCATCCTTTTGGCATGCGGTTAATCCTTTGGCTATGTCGCACGCGAGGCGAGGTGAGGGCGGAAAAAGACGAAGGACGAAGGACGAGCCACGGAGGACCGTCTCCCGCACAGGTACTCAAGGCATTACCCAAAACTTGTGCAGCTTACGCCAAAGTCCTTTGCCTGAATCCAGGCTACCGACGAGTCCTGCTCATGCACTGCCAGAAATAAATATAATGTTTTTCTGGGCGTAAAGGAGAATTTGTATTGAGCAATCTACTAGAAAAATATTTTAATTAAAATTATTATTTCCTGAAACTCTGTCTGGAAAAACGAAATTACAGTGAAATTTTATTTGCGTTCGAATTTTCTTTAATACATTTTTCTTGCTTATAACGATTATAAAATAAATAGTTAATACATTTTTTTGGGACCAAAAATAATCGTTATTTATTGAAAAAAAATTAGAAAGTTCAGTTAAATTAGAAATAGGTGGAAAAAAATCCGACAAATCAGAAAAAGAATTGTGTACAAGTCCCAGAAATGTTTAAAAAATAATAGTCTCAAATAAGGATTATTTTTGATCCCTGATTTTTTCAATTATTTGAACTGGTACAATCGTTTATATTTTGAAATGTTTTTGATTACCTAAATATCAGCTTTTCTAATTTTTGAAAGTATATAAGTAAGCAACAGAAGTAAATATAATTCGAATTTTTCTTTTTAAACGATCAAACATTACTTGCTGTGATGTAAAAATACAAGGGCAAATTCAATAGCTCGATTTGCCCATATTTTCTGGCAGTGCAGTCGGAGTCCTTGTCCCGCCGGTTGGTCCTTGCCACTTGGTCCTGCGTCGTGTGCGCGGCCACTTTGCGGTTGCAAGCGCTTAACCGCATCATAAAACCATCAGCGAACATAAAGGCAAGCCATTATAATCATCGGGCCACGCACAGCGAATAAACCTTGGGAATTAAGACTCGGATCTCGGATCTGAGATCCCGGATCCCAAGACCCTCCCCGCTGAGCTCTACCGCCTACCTAGTCCTCCCTCTAAATTCTACCTCGGATGCACTGATCCTGCGGCTAGCCCTAATGAAACTGGGAGAAGTGCAATGAAACGACGGCAAATCCTCGAGATCTGGACTGGATCCGCTGCACTTGCCACGCAACAAACTAATCGGCAACCTCTCGCCTTTCGGGCTTCTGGTTTTCCTCTGCCTCTTCGATCTCTGATCTCTGATCTCTTGACAATTATATTAATTTAAACTGCTTTCAGCTCGGATTATAATGATCGCTGTATTTACGCGTAATACTCTTTATGTTGATCAATATATTTAATAGGCGGAATAAAGGAAAATTGCATAGCGTAGAGACAATGTCCTCATTACAATATAATTTTTTTACCCCGATTATCTATTAATCTGTAAACCAACTATAGAAGTGTAATTTTCTTAATCTTTTCTTCGGGAAAACTACTTAATGTACAATGATAGAATCTTGTTCTTACTTACGGTCTTATTAATCAGACTATTAATGCCACGCCCACGCGCACCTTATTATACCAGTGGCACGCCCCTTTTCCCCAGCAATTGAAGATCCCCCGACAAACCGAAAACCCCTTCTGAAGACAATAAAAGACAAGGGCTGAGGCTAATGAAATTTACTGGCTCGAAAGGAAAAGAAGGACCCTCCCCACACAGTAATTAAAAAAGTACATTTTGGAGAAATACAAATTTAAATAATTGTTTAAATAGTTACCTATCCTTTAATAAGACAACTGTCAAAACGTGAAAATTCTATAGTCCCAATAATAGAATAGAAAGCATATATTAAACTCGATTAATAACATGCAAATGAAACATACTTTTTAAAACACAAATTTATTTGGTAACCTAATTTTTAAAAACCTATTCTAATATGTAAGGCGCACATTTTTATTTCTTTTTGATTATAAAAGTACGAAATGCTATAAAAAAACGTATGTCATTGTAAGATTTTATCAGAGACGAAAAACATATGCGTTCATTATTGAATAATTTAGTTTTTAGCACTCGTCTTTTAGGCAAAACACACCAAAAAAATTGTGATCTTATTTAATATACCCTCCTTGATGTTTGGCACTATAGAAATATAGGTCAAATGTAACAGTTCTGAATAGAAATTTTACTGGTGCCTAATCAAATTTTCTTTCAGTGCACGCTGCATGCCACGCGCCTACGACAGAGGCTAATGAATGTGCTGGGCAATAAAAAATCAGCCAAACGAATTGTCGTTAATCAGCCAGCAAAAAAAAGGCGAAAAAATGGTGAAAAAATAGGGGGAAGAAATCTGGAAAAAATGAGAAAAAGGCAAGGCAAGTTGGCTGCGTTTCTAGTTGGAAACCTGAACACCCACACCTAAGGCTCCCCTCAGAACCCCCCCAAAGCCCCCCTTCCACCCACGGAGCAATCAAAACTGTCGCCTATGAAAAATGTTTTGGGGCAAATGGCGGCGAACTTTTCGCGGCTGGCGACTTGCAAAAAAGGGAGAAAATAAAAAATGATGGCAAAAATACACCCACGTGTACATATGTGCATTCAACTTTGAGTATTTTCATTTTCAAATCGGTTTTTTACTTGCTTCGTACTTTTGTTTGCTTGTTTTTAAGGATTTAATTCGCTGGCGTTGAAAAAGTACAACTACAAAGTTACATATTGTGTTTGCAGATACAGTTTTTCTACAGGAATAGTTAAATCCATGCAGGGCTAGCATGATATCCAGAAACGATCTTGATATGCCAGGAATATAAGTATATCTAAATTTGATTTGTTATACTCAAAATACTCAAAATTATATAGGTGAGTGTTTCTAATAATTAAAATAAATATAATAAGTTAAGTAACATCGCAATAAACATGCCTGTTTACCCAAACTTATATAAAAACTGTGCTTTTATATTAAACTCCCGTTTCTGAGTTAAGCTGTAACTTTTCCATTTTTATGCCCTTTCTGCTATTCTGAGTTTTACTCTAAAAGCATTTTAAAGTTTCCCACAACGCTTTTGATGAAAATTAATTTTTGTTTTATTTTATTCCTGATTCTCCACGAATTTCCCAGATTTTACTGTTGTTGTTGGGGCCCCAATTTGTGCGCTAAGCTTCCCCTTCGAAGGGTAATTGCCTCATGTTTCATCTACACATCAATTAGCCGCAACAATTTAATTTGCCCGCCTGGAAATGGAAAATGCGCGAGAGAAAAAAAAAACAGCATTTTCAACAAGAAAAATCCATAAAATATTTGTGCAACATTTTCTCGCCCCATCCAATGTGGGTGCGAGCGAGAGGGCGAAACAACTGTCGTCAGCTATTTCAAATTGTCATAAAAATTTGATAAGGTTTTTCCACTGGTCCCCCCAATTTCTCTCCAAACTCCCTATTTTTTCCTGCGTCAGCTACAAAGCAAAAATAAATAAGCAAAAAAAAAATTGGCAAAAAAGTTTTGGTCGCTTGAATATATCATTTACAGTTATGCTGCTAGTCCAGATACACTTTTCAAAAATATATAATAGCTTAGTTTGATGTTATTAGATCTTAGAAATTTAGACATACAATTTTGAAATATTATCAATCAATCAAATAGGCTATGGACGTAAATACCCAATCTAAAACAATAATCAAGCAAACATTTTTTATTTAAAATTTTTTTTAGATATTTAAAACATTTTGACGTTCGGATGTACGAGAACTTATGGTCATTCAATTTTAAATACATGAAATAAAATACGACCTTTAAATTAATATTTTTAGGCACTTTACAGTACCCCAAAATTTGTATTTAAGTCTGTGACAGTCAAAGTCCTTAACATCCTAGTTTTAATTTTAGGTTTATATCATTCTCGAGAATTTTTTTCTGACGTCAGATTGAGAATTTTGGCCAAAACCAAGGCCATCTTGAGTTTCAATTCCTTTCGCTACGTTTTGCGTAAATGATAATTGAACAATGGGGCCGCCCATTGGGAAGAAAGGGAGTGGGCGTGCTAAGTGTGAGTGGCTCCCTCTCCTTCTCCCTCTTCCTCTCCCTTCGTTTGTTGTTGTTTGCGTTGTGCTTCTGTGTGCATGACAATTTGCGTCGCAGATGAAGAAGAAGTAGAAAAAGAAGAAGAAGCAATGGTACTGACCAGCGTCCTTTAAACGCCCGTTTGCCACCCCCTTTTTTCCTTATCTTTTGCTGTTAGCTAACAAATTTTTGCGTTGTTTTCGCTGCCTTGTCGTTTTCATTAAAATTTCATTGCTGCCGCGCAAAAATACGAAGGTACCTTGTTTTTTTTATGACTATTTTTTGTTCCTCTTCTTCTTTTTGTGGCAACAAAGTTGTTGAACTGAATTTTTTTGGGGTGTGGTTCCACACTCAAGCGCACACACACATGGACGAGCAGCAACAACATAGAGGTAAATACAGCTGCTCGAAAAGGGGCCGTCAGGTTGTCTCGCTTTGGCAAAGGGGCAAGACCAAGCGAGAGTGACAGAGATGCACACAGAGAGAAAGAGCATGTGACTGGAAGCGAACTGCGGCTATCTCGCTCTTTCGCCCGAGCGAGATCCAAGCAGCCATTGCTAAAAGCAGGCACTCGCTCTCTCGCTCTCGCTCCCACCACCAGTTGTTTGTTTGCTTTTTTTTTTGCGGACCCTGGTCGAACGACTTTTGCTCTGCCCGCCCGCTGCCCGCTGCTCGCTGCGCTGCTGCCGCCGCTGCCGTCGTCCGTGGAAGGTGTACCGCAATTCATTTCCAGAGTAACTTTCGTGCCGCTCGGGTTGTTTTTGTGCGTCGTCCGTCGCCCAGTCTCGCCCAGTCGCTCAGTCGCTCATTCGCCCCGTTCGCCGCTCGTTCGATCGCTCTCGCTACTCGCCGCGTTCGCCGCTTTTGGCCAACAACAACAATCAGTTCGCCGTCGCCAAAACAAACAAAAATCGAAAACAACAAAAAGATCTATGGATCATCTATATTGAGAAACAAAAAGTCAGAGAAATACTAGATCAGAGTTATATATCTCTCGGATATATTCAAGTGCCAGTGACGAGAATCTGTTTTTTTACCGTGTTGCCAGTGCCAAACCATAAACATCGCATAAACAAACAAATATCTGGAATACAATATACATACTCATGCTATAACTATATAGTATAGTGTAGCTGGATCTGAAAACAAGTCCCCATTGGAATACAGCACCGTTTCGCTTCACGTTTTGTTTGTGTTTTTTTTTCGGTGAGTGCAATCCGCCGATATCGAGAAATCGGTAGAAATTTATATATCCCACGAGAGGAATGTGGAGAGATAAGCACGGATTAACTGGGGAATCGGTAGAAATAAGTTGTAGATGGGGCGGAAAAAGTCAGAAATATAGTAGGAAATATCTTTATCGAATGCCCTTTTTTATGGCCAAAATAAGACCTCGTAAATATTTTAATACTTGTATGGATCTACTAAAATTAAAATTATAGATTAAACTTTTTGACATTTCTTAAGTTCTTAAAATCTCTAGGACCACTCCATTCATTAAGTCTTGTTTTATGATTTTAAAGTGGATCTCTATGAGATTTTTATACATTTAACAAGTTTGATGTTATAACCCATCAACTATATAAAACTGAATAATGTTTTACAACAACTTCTTCAGATCTGGAATAATTAGGAAAGATCTTAAAGAGATGGTATCGCATTACATAGAAGTCAATTGCTTTTCCTCACACACTTAATTATTTATCTTGTCTATAAATAATAACAGCCTTTCAATCTCTTTAAACTGTTATTATTTGATAAAACATAGATTTTCTTTTTACTTTCGAACCATTTCCATTTGTTTCTTTCAAAATAGCTTATTCTATAACTATCTCTGATCTTATTTAATCACTTCTCTCAAAATTAAATTATAAGTTTTCTTTGTTTTAATATCAACTTGTTTGATGAAAACTAAAATTATATATTTACATTCAAAGTTCGTAAACATTAAGATTGATATTTTAAGTATTTAAGCATTTTTTTGTTGGCATTTAGCAATGTACCATTAATATTTTGATTTTAACTTGGATGTTTAAAAATGGATAAGTTTAAAACATAAAAACTTTTGTGTTTACAAAAATCGTGATCGAATTTTCCTAATATCATAAAGTTATTTAAAAGCTTACCAAGTTCTCCCAAGTTAAAAGTCTACCATCCAGCTTCACAATAAATAAAACCTTAAGAAATCCCTTTATTTGGCCTTTATTTCATTAGATCTTAACAATCTAAAATCGCAATTCAATTCATTGAGTCTGGGGACTCCCTCATCCAACAAAAGAATTATCTATACCATGCCGGCAACCTAAAAACTTCGGCTTTGTTTTAGTTCTTTAAACTATTCGTGATATCGTGGAGGCTATTAATCGGGTTTGGTTCAGGAAATTCCGCCTATGACTAATGTCTGCCAGTATAATGTGAGAAAATGCGAGATTTGAGAGATTCGTTATGATTTTCATAATTTTAATGGGCATATTAAGGCCGCCTCCCTTAATTAGGCAAAACAAAAAAAAGCAAGCCCGACCAAATCGATACGAGAAATGTGATATGGAAAAAGGCTACCAAATGATAGAGGCAACGTCGAAGAAACCCCATGAAAACCAATATTAGACACAATAGAAGCCAGCCGACGGACCCGTTCAGGTCGCATTATTCACACATTTTCCCCACATCTCCCCGATCGGATCGTCTAATTTCAAAGCGGCGGCTATAAATTAAAATATCTGAATAAAACGTTGACTCCTCGCCGCTGCTGCTGGCTACCTTGTTGTTCTGTTTTATTATTAATTTGCATATGGTTTTCTAACAAAGAGCAACAGAAATTAATATGCAAGTCGATTCATATTTCTCCCATCCGATCTTTCTCCATCCGAATTGGAGTTGGGATGGTGGTGGAGTGTGGAGTGTGGAGCTGGTGGGGATCTCATGGGATCTCTTGGGATCTATTGGGATCTATTGGGTCTCACCCACGCCTGATTGCCGGCCCAGCCTAGATCCCCTCAATACCTCAATGCCTCAATGCCTCAGTGTCCCAATGCCAATTCATTCATTCACAACATCCGCCCAGCGTTGTGATTTCGATTGTGAATTGAAAGTGGCCGAGATCGCGTCGCGACACATTTGATACCTTATCGCGCATATCCCCCAGCGAACGAGTGAATTTCGCTCTAGGCTGCACTGCAAGAATTGGGGCTTAAGTTCTTTCATTCACTTATATGGCATTCAATATTTCATTTGATATGATCTCAATGCATTTAATATCCAAATCAAAATCCAACCTTTCAATAAATTCATACAAATTGCATTCACATTAAAGTAATCTATTAAAATAAAATTGTTTTAGTATCAATTTAATTGCATTTTTGAGTTTAGTATACATATATACCTTTCATGTTGTATTTTCTTTGTTTAAATATCAGTTTCTTTTACTTTTCTGACAATTATTGTACTAAACATCTTATGATGACTTTTACTTTGAAAATAATCTTTGGGATGGGTATTAAAGTTCAAAATATAAGTAGTTCTAAAACTTTTCCATTTTGTATAGTTTTTTTGGGTGGAAATGAAATGTGTGTACATATTTTCGCTCACTGTAAAACGGTATCCATTGTTCCGCTTCCCTAGCACGCCCCAATCTTTCGGTTCGACTTCGACTTTGCCTTTGGCTTCGACTTCGACTGCGACTTCGACTCGAACTCCCACACACTTGGCATGGGTATAGATAGGTATACTCGTACCTGGGAGATCGGGTGTTGCCTTTTTTTGTCGTCATCTTTTGTCAATCTCTTTGGCGTCGCCTCGCCTTAAGTGAGGTTTCATTTCGTTTCATTTTATTTCATTTCATCTCGACTGCGTTCGAGGCGTTTCTTGGACTTACTTCTTTTTTCTATTTTTTTTTTTACCAATTATTTGTATTATTAATTTTTATCTCTCTTCACTCTTTGCTCATTACGCGATACTGGTGCTGTTGTTGCTGTTCACTTCTCAAATTTCGTTGACAAAGCCATTTAAATAGAAATCACTCAGACGGAGGTTTTAGTTTTTTTTTAGGTTCCATTTCCAGTTTCGACTTATCAAGATCACATTGACAATGCGTCAAATAATAAGGTTTTTCTAGCCGCAGTTGTTGTTGTGAACCGACTGGAGCTCTTTACTCTATTAGTCTATTATTGATTTATTTTTTTTATGTTGGTCCACCGTCCATGATGCAATCATTTGTACATGGCAACAACAATAACCAAAACAACCAGCGCAATTCATTCAATATTTTTTTCAAACATACATATCTATGGGTATTTTTTGTTATTTTTATTTTCATTTTTGAATGGAATTGTGGGAAGAGGCAGAGAAAATGATGTAAAGCCAGAAATTTGTTGAATTAAAAGCAATTTTATGGAAATTTATTGGGTTTTGTTTGTCAGGAACTTGGCTTGTGAATGAAAAATAACATACAAAAGCTATTGAACAGGTTATATCTGAAAAGAACACAACAATCGTATATTTTAACATTAATATTTTACTTTGGAAACCTATATTTACAAATATATCAAGACTTGTTCTTTTTTAATGAAGACTAAGAGTTTTCTGTGTTGAATTTCTAAAAAAAACACCTAAAATGATTTTTAACAACGTATAGAGAATAAGGCCATTCAAATTGAAATATATGTTTTCTAGAAATATAAATGGCTTATGGTTAATACCAAATTCAACAATTCAATTTTCAATTCCAAATTCAATACAGAATGAACTCAGTTTTTTGAGTAAAATAAATGTAACGTATTATATAATAAAAATTCCATTTTTTCTACGTTTAACTTGATTTATTTATAGTTAATCTTTTACCCTGTCAAATCGTTAACTGATGACTTAATGGGAAAGCAATTATAAACCGCAAAAGCAATTTGTTACCCAATAAATTAAGCATAGTTTCCTATTTAAAATGTAATTGTCACTCAATTCCGCTCTTAAGGGATTCGTCTTTATTCCTATATTTCTCAGATTCTCAGAGAAATACAAGTCGGTGGGGATTATGCTTAATCTATAGGCGATATATTACTTTGATTGAGCAATCTGCCTCGTATCTGTTAATTACTCCAACGGCTGGCTGCTCAAGTGTCAATGCAATTAGGTAAATAATAAATAATTTGCCGTGCGATAAGCGAAAATACAGAAACTAATTAAAAATGTGGGCAAGTGGAAAATGTGGAAAAGTTGTCGCAGCGGCACAAACAGTTAGTCGTCGTCGTCGTCGTTGTCTGATTTCTAGGCCATATATACGTAGGGGATATATGTAGATGGGTGCAACCCGGCTTTTAATGCCTCTTAAACTTGTCAAATCTTCACACTTTTTCAATTATTTGGCACGTTGCTTAATTAAACTTCAGGCAACGTCAACGTCAAAGTCAGTAGCTGGAATCCACATCAACAGCCCCATCATAATCGCGATCCTCCAGTGGCAGCAAGGTTGCACTAGCAGTAGCAGTTTGCAGTTTGCAGTTGCAGTTGCACTTTTCACCAAAGCCAGCTGGAATAAATAAATATAATTTTATGCGAAAATTGCAAATTTAAATGTCAAAATGCATTTGCGTAGAAATGGCAGCAGCAGTAATATCACCGACTAGCCGCAAGTTTTCCTACCCGTTTTCTATTTTTTTTCTCTTCTCTTCTCTTTTTTTTTTCATCTTTATTTTTTTTTTTTTGCCTCGTTTTCGTTTTCGGGACGTGACTGCCGCAGTTTGCTGCACTAGCAGCCACTTCGCGTTCTTTGTTGCGTTTATTAAGTTGCATTATGGCCAAAGAGACAGACAGGCAGACAGGCTTATTATGCTAGGCCAGCAGCAGCGTCAGAAACTCGGACTTGCAGTCCGACTTGCCGTTTTGGGACCCTCTACTTGGAAGTCCACATCATATACACCATGCACCATACACCATCCACCACACACACCACATGCCACATGTAGCATGTACCATATTCCAGTAGCCACGGCTCAATGTAAATGAGCCTGAGAAATGCATTTTTCATCTGCCACCTCCCTCGGTTTCTGTGCCTTCATCTTTTTCGCTGCCAAAACGCGTTATCCATATAGAGGAATGTGAAGCTTACACTGGCTAGCAGAAATCGCAAATGGAAAACATGGTTCTCATATTTGATTATTTTAGATTTTTTAATTATATTTTCTATTTCTTTACAATTTGTGTCACTTTAGATCAATTTACCCCGAAGATTTGACATTGTTTAATGAAAAGTGCTCATTAATTATGAACAGTTTCAAAAAAACTAGAAATAGGCAAAAGTTAACTGCTTTGTTGCCCAAATGTGTTTATCATAATAAATCTTATTAAGCCAAATAACAGGCATTTATTTTAATAACACCAATTTGCAGTAAACGTTGTACAAAGTTTATTGAAATAATTATAAATACAAATAATGGTTAAAAAAACCTATTATATAACATTTAAGTAACTTTTAAGTTAGCGACGGCAAATAATTCAGTTTGCAATGAGCATATATCTTAGTTTTATACATTTACAAGATTTTATACAACCAGATTTCATAATTTTAGATTTTATGGTTTGGTCATGAAGTGATAACTCAATTCGAGCCTTATTAATGTATAGTAAAGGTATAGTAGATAACTAAGTAAGGTCTATAAGTTTCGATTTATTTATTCTTTCTCAAGGCAAAAAAAATGGTTTGGTTAATTAAGCTAAGATAATAAAATACAGATGAAGGGAACATCAATAGTAGGAGTTTTTAATACGCAACTTGATTTGGTTTTTACTGCTGGTCAGTGTGGAAAATGTGCAGTATGCCCGAGCATATTAAGTTGTTATGGGGCTTGTTAAGGCGGTTAATGGCTCTACTACTACCACTAGTGACTACCACTAGTGACTACTAGTGACTACCACTAGTTACTACCACTAGTGACTGCCACTAGTGAACAGTGAGTTCGGGGACTGACAGGTTAGCACTCCTGACAGCTGCACACAGCGCCGGTGACTGACTAACTTAAATATAGCCGCAGATACGCGGTACTTAATATTAGTCAGAGCCAAATGCGGACCAAAAGTTATGCTAAGTCCGGCCATTAATCATCTGGTAAACGGCGATCCAAAGATCCATTCCCATGGCCCAGATGAATAGTATGCAAAGTATGAACAGTAGCTGCCGATTTCTTTTTGGTTTTTCGGCTTTTCGGCTTTTCGACTTCTTTGACTTGTCGACTTTCCCAGGGACCGTCAGCAGCATCATCAGCGAACCAAAACACTTGGATGTGCGGGTTTATATAGGGCTCCCCCTTACCCCTTTCCCCTCCCCCATCCATCATCTGATAGCCACAAAATCTTACGGTAGCTTTCGGTGGCATCTTCAATTCGTGGCTGGATATCTGGGCTTTATTTTGTTTTCCTCCCGGCTGTTTATCCAACAAATATTATTTTGACCGTAATTACGAGCGCGGACAAACGAATTGAAACTGGTGTACGGCGGAAATGGAAACCGAGAGTGAAAATCGTAGTTAAGATTTCAAAATCACCAGCCAGAATCGGCCAAATTAGAGAATCATAAAATCAAGAAAAAACTGAAAATCATAAAATCAGAAATTGCCGAATGGAATTCATAATGAAAGTGTCGGTTGTCGTACGTGATATATGTCCAGCCGAAATGATTTTGTCTCGACTCGTTTCGGCCTCACAATGGATCTCTTAAAAAGTGCCAGCGGGGCCTTCTTGTTTTGTTTTTTTATTTAGCTCTTTTTGCCATTTACCATGATTTTTCATAATCAGCGAGGGCGGAAGAAGGCCGAGGGGCGAAAATGTCTAGAAAATCACGTAGAGCCCGATCGCCATTCCCTGGTTGTCTCCAAAAATGTGTCACATTCGCTTTTTGACAGATGCTGAGAGTTTGTCGAGGTTTTTTTTACAGGCACATCTTGCCTTTTTCGTTTGATCGTTTGTAAAATTTTCGTTAATGGAAGTTGCTTGGCAGAGCCATGGGAACTTTAAATAAAATAGAAAATAAAGATGATGTATTAAAAACTAATGGTTAAAGTAAAAATAAAGTTTGTTGAGTTTAACATATTATACAAGTATTATGTTTGGTTTTACAAATAGGATTTGATAACAAAATCAATACTTAACATACATATATTACCACAAATGTTTTCAGCCCATTGGTTCTTTTATTTTGGGATGGTAAAATATGAGCAAAGCTTAAAGAAAATTGATTATTAGTTTCTCAAATACTTATATAACCATTTTAGCAATTACTTGGATTTTTTGCACTTTTACAAAACATTTTATTCCATTTAATTTTTATACCCTTGCAGAGGGTATTATAATTTTGGTCAAAAGTGTGCAACGCAGTGAAGGAGACATCTCCGACCCTATAAAGTATATATATTCTTGATCAGGATCACCTCCTGAGTTGATATAGCCATGTCCGTCTGTCCGTCTGTCCGTCTGTCCGTCTGTCCGTCTGTCTGTCCGTCTGTCTGTTTCTACGCGAACTAGTCTCTCAGTTTTAAAGATATCGAGTTGAAACTTTGCACACACCCTTCTTTCCTTTGCACGCAGTATATAAGTCGGAACGGCCGGGATCGGCCGACTATATCCTATAGCTGCCATATAACTGATTGATCGGAAATGCCATAACTCTGCTGTTTGTTAAGTTAGGAAGTTGGGACTTTCTATGGGTTTTATATTTGGCCAATCAATCCGACGTACCAAATTTCATAAGGATCGGCCGACTATATCTTATAGCTGCCATATAACTGATTGATCGGAAATGCCATAACTTTGGTGTTTGTAAAGTTAGGAAGTTGGGATTTTCTATGGGTTTTACATTTGGCCAATTAATCCGACCTACCAAATTTCATAAGGATCGGCCGACTATATCTTATAGCTGCCATATAACTGATTGATCGGAAATGCCATAACTTTGGTGTTTGTTAAGTTAGGAAGTTGGGATTTTCTATGGGTTTTATTTTTGCCTAATCAATCCGACATATCAAATTTCATAAGGATCGGCCGACTATATTCTATAGCTGCCATATAACTGAACGAGTTAGGAAGTTGGGATTTTTTATGAGAATTAAGAAGGCATTATATGAATGATTTTGGAGAATATAATTTGCAGAATATTCTGCAAGGGTATTTCAACTTCGGCTCCGCCCGAAGTTAGCTTTCCTTTCTTGTTTTTATTTGTTATTAATTGTAATTATTGTGATATAGAATTTGATATATTCAACCAGGTAGTTTAATAGCTATTAGGAAATGTAATAACTCTAATAACTCTCTTTAACTCTAATTTTTGTATAGAGTCAGAGATTCTGTAGGAATATTATTATACAATTAATGAAGTTAGGAACTTAACCTCAGCCAACTATCAATTACAGCTTTGCTTCCGATCAGCTTCCGTTTAGTTGGACTCCGAGGATGAGTGGCGAACCCTCCCTGGACGGGATGTTCCAAGGAGAGTCCTTTATCGCTGTATCTATATGCTGTATGCTATATGCTATATGCTGTCCTGCCTCTCGAATTGAAGCCAGATGTGTTATTAATTTGCGTGTGCGCGTGAGCATGTAATTTGGGAATTCGGAGGGCAGAGGAACAGGGTCTGTCATCGCACCAAATCGGGTGCTATATCAGGGTCGGGTTTTGGTTTTGGTTTTGGTCTCGGTTTCGGTTTCGGTGCACACACTCTTTTTGTTTTTCGTATTTTCGTATTTTAGCATTTCGGGATCTGGATGTTTTTGCGGCTGCATTTTGAGGCCGGAATGCATTGAGCCATGAAAACGACATGACAAAACAAAACAAATTTTACATATACTCGTATGTACCCATCGCATGTGTGGACATATCTCTTCAGGGCGATGTGACAAATAGTTCTACCATTCGGTTTTCAGTTTCATAAACAAAGCGAGGTGTTCGTGCTAATTCCGCAATTACAACCTCACCGTTTCTCTCTCCTTTTGAATTATCTGGACTGCACTTTCTTTCTTTCTCTACTTTCGGCAAAATAGTGCTAATTTTTTTCGCACGAAAACTGTATGAAAGTAGAGAAATATCACAAAGGGAATTTAATCCAGGCTAGTTGTCTCTTTCTGGGCTTAATCTCAATGCCCATTGTCCTGGATCAGGCGATGTCCTGCCCCGTAGATTGTGTGTGTGTGTGTGTGTGTGCGAGTGTTTTTAGTAAGTGTCTGAAATAATCCTGCGGCTAAGCGCAGATCAAAGATCTTTAAACCGCAAGATAAGCCCGAATGCGACTTCGGATCGTTTCGGGTTGGGTTCGGGATTCGGGATTCGGGGTTCGGGATTCGGGACTCGGGATTCGGTATGTTCGGTGTAGGATTCAGGACCCCGTCTTGGAGGCGGTTGGGTAATCTTCCCGGCTGTGTGCGTTGCCCAGATTAGAAGTTTTTACATCATAGACAAGCCTCGGGATTAAGCCCAAGGAACGATCGTGAGTGGGCGAGACAGATAGAGGTCGTCGATGGCAGATAGTCCCGAGATCGGCCTTATAAGTCTCGGTTCTTTTGGCTCTCGGTCTTAGAGTGTAATTGGAACTCGTGGCAAGAGCTTAGCCCACTGCAAACAAATAACGGAACACTACAGTGAATTTCACAGATAATTGGCGAATTGTGAGTGTTTTTCGTGGCATTTAGTGGCTTTCGCACACGGATTCTCATATCTCTCGGTGTACTTTTGCCTGGTAATAATTGTTTGCACTGACAGCATCCATTTTCATATCTTTGTTTGCTGGGGAAAAACAGTTTATAACACTTTCAGTTAGTTGCATTTATTTGTAATAGATTTGGAAAGTATTTAACTGATAACTGATTATCGTGAATAATAATAACTAGCTGATAAGTAACTATATTTTCGGGATTCAACAAGTCTTCATATAATATTTTCATATTTTTAAAATTATAGGGGGTCTTAAAGGACTTCATGTTGATCTTTATAAAGATCGTGGAGGCTAGGCATTTCGTCTCATTTGGATAAGCCGAAGGGCTTGTGATATGCTCAAATCAGATTAGATAATATATAATATATGTTCCCATTACTAAAGCATATCGTTAACATTTGAATAACCACTATTGTGACCTCTTGCAGATCCGATCGGAAGCACCTAGAGCGGACATCCAGTGCCCGTCATCCAGCGCCAGAACACCGACCAGAGTCAGCCGAGTGAGTGGTCCGGAACAGCCATTCAGGGACGGAACATAGAGTATCTGGGAGAATATAGGAGCCGGAGGCCAGTGGAGACACACAGCTTCAACGTGGCGCTGCACTCGACCGAGGCCTTGATGGCGGCGGGCTTCCTCAAGTCGGGCGACCTGGGCCCCCATCCGCACAGCTACGGGGGTCCCCATCCGCACCACTCGGTGCCCCACGGCCCCCTTCCGCCCGGCATGCCCATGCCCTCGCTGGGGCCCTTCGGCCTCCCACACGGACTGGAGGCCGTCGGGTTCTCCCAAGGTATGTGGGGTAAATATCGCATCGACAATTTTGGTATAAATGCACTGCACGTAAGCAAACCAGATCGCTCAAATGTGCTGAAAGTTGGCTACACTGCCGGAAAGTATTACCCATTTCAGTGACTTACAAAAGAGGGGTGATCAAGGGGTCTTATACTTCATTTAATAATAGTATTTCTTAGCTAGATGATCAGCTATCGGTTTTTTAACTTATCAGAACATTTTCAAAGTAGCGGAAAAGTATTAAAAAGTTAGTAGACCATTTAGGCAATTCCTAGAGCAAATCCCAAATTATATTATATTAATTCAAATCCCAATAATTCCCAATAAGTTTTGGCACATTTTTGGCAAATAATAATGATGATCATATTGGATAGTCTATTTCTCGCACTGTATTGTCGGGCTTCCTCTTCGTTTTGCTGCCTTTCAATGTCAGTTCGCATCGATATTGCATCATTATCAGTTAAATTGTCAAAATGAATAATGAGCTACGGGCAGTTTCGGAGACTCGGGTCTCCTCTCCGACTTTATCTTCCAGTTTTCAGCTTTAGATTCAGCTTTTCGGTTCCAGTTTTCGCTTCGCTCGGTGACGCTGCAAATGACAAACAAAACCTGACAAAAATCACAAAAAATTGGCTACAAAATGCCAACAAAAGACTCTGCCAAAGCAACACAGACAAAATTATTGAACAGCCGACCAAAAAAAAAAAAAACCAAATAATAAATAAGAAAAATGATAAAAAGAAAACAACAAATTTCATACTCGTAATCAATTTTTGTATATATATTTTTGTTTTGCCTTGCATTGTATATATTTGCTTTGCTGTTGTAATAAGCCAAGTAATTGACAGAATCTTAACTTGTTACATAACATAGTTGAAAGGGGCCATAACGATGATAAAAAATAAAGAAAAGAAAGCAAGTCTTACATGTCTGAAAATTATAAGAAAAAAAGAAGGCTTATTTATTAACAATAAATAGTGTTTTTTCGACTTAAATAGGTTCTTAAACCTTGGAAAATCAACAAATTTAAAGCCAAATTAAGCTAAGAACTTGGTAAGCAGATATATTCAGATATATATTAATTAGCTAACCAAATTTTCCTAGACAAGCCTTGAACTATTTTGCTTGACTACAAGCCCAAAAAATAACAAGACCTTCCAGGAAACCCCATAAATTAGCCATAAAAAAAAAACACGAACACTAAAATATTTGAAAGAAGTCATAAATTTATAGGTGCAGTTAATTAAACGACAAGCTCTCTCCATAAGGCCAGGGCGAAAATCAAAATATTAAGTATCCCAAAAAAAAGCACACACAATTAATTGTGTGGATATAAAGAAATAAACCAATTTGGCAACCATTTTGAAAGCGAAAACGATACGAAACGAGGCGAAAACTGAAACTGAAACAGAAACAGAAACAGAAACGAAATGCGGCAGCTGCAAAGTGAAGTGAAGTTTTTTATTCAATTTATAAATTCATGACCAAAATGACTAACTCATTAATTTTTGATAGAGCCAGAAAGGGAGGGCGTCAGTCGGGTGCGAAAGAGAGGGCCATGGTCGGGGTGTATTTGGGACAAAAAGAAATATAAATAGGGAGTGGGCCGATGGCGAAGACTCGATGTTTTGGCTTTTCGAGGGTGAGCGACAGAGAGAGCTGACAAAGCAAACAATGCGGCGGCTTAGTACGCACACACACATACACACACATAGATGCATTACACGGATACACACACACACACACACTCTATCTATATTCCCTATATGGAACATTATGTACTCAACGAAAAGGGAGTCGAGTTTTTGGGGCGGCTGCTGCACGGGGGTTGGTTCCTTTGCCAGTCCTTTTTTCTTTTAGGGGTTGGCCGTCGCACTTTTTCGGGGGTTGCTATACCACACACACACACACACACACAGCAACACACTCTAGTGTGCTCTCACACACCGACAGGCGGGAAAATAACGGTTACTGTCGAAAATATTACTGGGAAAAGTCACGACACACATGGCGTATACTTAATCTGGCCCCCACCGATCGAAACTTTCAGCACATTCGGTTAGGCAATCACCTCCTCTTGGGAACTCCTTTATCTAACATTATTTTCTTATTTTCTCCCCTTTATGCGATCTATGTTATCCAGGCGTTAACACACGGAAACAGCGTCGCGAACGCACCACATTCACACGCGCCCAATTGGACGTTTTGGAAGCCCTTTTCGGCAAGACCCGTTATCCGGACATTTTCATGCGCGAAGAAGTGGCCCTCAAGATCAATCTGCCCGAATCCAGAGTACAGGTAAGCTTCCCTCATAACTCGGTCATGTAGCTAGCTATTGATATGAAACTTGGTATATTGAAAGTCGGGTATTTGAGGAGGTATTGTGCGAGGTTTTACTAAAACTGAACAGTAGGTTTTCCTGATAGCAGCGACTAAGTAAAGTAAATGGATTTTTTTTGTAACTTAACTTAATTAAATTTTTTAAAAATTTTTAAACCGTAATAGAACTTAATTTCATTGTCCTTAAATTAGGGAAATATATTAGATGGTTTCCTAAATATCCGTGAATATTCTAGGGCAAACAAATATACATAGGGCTATAAATTGATTTTCTTAATTCTGAAAAAAGCTATAACTGAAAAGTGCATTGCAATCATTGCAGTTAACACATGAATACTTATTTTCCCCCGAAAAAAGTGCCTCAATTTCTGGCCATATCGCATTTCACTTAAACTTCTCTCCGCCCCCAAAAGGCAAATACAAGCACTTGCTGACCTGCTAACTCGTTTTTCGACTTCGAAAGCCCATTACCCGCACATGTGAGCTTTTTAACCCACAAAAACTCGCACCGATACACTTGTATAGTTGGTTTAATTAGGCGAAATGCCCTCGAAAAGTGCCGGCAATCCGTCGGCGGCCGAAGGAAATCCATAAAACAAACAAATTACAACAGCTCGGAACAGATTGTCGGCGGGGATATGGCCAGGATGTGGGGGTGGGTCCATATACACATATGGAGCGCTCAGATTTGATGACTTCCAATGCAAATAGACGGCACAGTTCGTTTCCATTTTCTGTTTCCACTTCGAGACATCTTCCCCTTCGGAAATACATTGCCGTATTTGCCGAAAGTATTTGCGGGGTATGACAAGTCACCCCTCCAGGATATTGGATGGGAAATAAAAGCGTAACTGAAGTTTGCTCAAGGAATTAGTCGAGCATAATTTGCGCTAATTTCTAGCGTCAGCCAGATGAGCTCGATGACAGCAAATTGTACAACTCAATTTCGGTTGAATAATGCGACGAAGGGAATCTCTTTATTCCACTGTCTGTTTGTTTAGGTGTCCACGATCGGGCCTAAACAAACAAATTCCCTAGCGCCGTTGGCCCAAAAACTGCCAAATGGCCCAAAACGATCTCCTTGGCTTCCGGTTTGCTGGAAAAACTGTCATCTCGTTTTTGGTAATTTCTTGGGCAAACACAGCCGCAACATCGATCGTTTTGGGAAACTGCAATGAAAACATATAGACGAAACAGAAAAATAAACATTATTGGCAACTACATTGATCCATCGATTTGTTTGCTTTGCTTTTGCCCTCGCTTTGTTTGCCATTGCCTTTTGTCCGTGTAATTTAAGGACGTGACATTGCAGGGTCAAATGCAGTAGTCGCCAAAGAATCATGCAACCAAAGCAAAAATTAAGAAGTGTTTAGAAAAAGATACACATGGTAGGGTTGGACATTGGTGTAAAAAATATACCTTATAAGAAAAAAAACTGGTAGCTAAGCTTAAAATAGATATAAAGTAGATAGGGACATTAGGAACTCCGAAGAACTAAGGCAACAGGTAGTCTATACTATAAGGATTTATTAGGCTTTAATAAAAGTAACAGCAGCTCAGTAAGATAACTCTAGTATTAAAACAAAGCAGTTAGAGACTTTAGCAAGTTACAGACTTTAAAAAAGTAGATAGGGACATTAGTACAAGCTAACTTAGCAACAAGCATTCAGGGTTAAGGACTTTAAAAATCCGTTGGTCAACTAACGATGTAGAGTACAAAACAGAATACTTGGTAAACTAAGGATTCAGAATAGTCAGAGACATAATGAACGAACACGCTTTAAAATACAGTCACAGAAATAGGGAGAAAAGCAGTTAAAAACAAGCTGACTTTAAAGACCCGGCCGGAAAAAAGCAACAGCGACTAAGGAAGCCCCTGCAGTGGTCGGCTCGGAATGAAAAACGACACGTTCTATTCCACGGGGGCATTCTGAATGAAAATAAATGGTAGTTAAAAAAAAAAAAAAGAAGAACCGAGAGCTGCAGCAAGGACACCTTGCACATGTCCCATGAATCGACTTCTTCACCCCCACGCTCCCTTTGTTATTGTTTCCCTTTCAAAGTTACGTTTTTTACACAATTGATTCGAGTAATGCACACCCGGGGAAACGAGGAAAAGATATAGGAAGTGGAGGTGCAGGGGGTGTGGCTGGGAATTGACATTTGTATAGATTTTCCACATGTCTCTTCTTCTTGGATAGTTTCGTGCGTTGTCGTCTCTCTGGCTTGGCTGCCTTCTCAAATTGTTTTTAGACCCAGACAAGCACAGTGGTACAAAATTATAGTCACTGGTTAAGTTAGGAATTTGGAAATCAGTAAGAAATTCATAGAGTTGGTTCTTAAAGGTTTACAATGTTTTGAAAGCCTCAGAAAAACAAATATTATTATTAACGAAAATACAACATTCTGTGTGATATACAGTTGGTATATTTTATTCCCTGCTTAAACTCTTTTTATAAGTGGAGGTTAGTACTTAGTTTTAGTTAAGCCCAACTTTGACCCACTGTACCTGTCTTCAGAGTGACGCAACATGTCCATGCATCCACTCAACTACATACATATGAGCGCTCTTATAAAAACACACCCACACTTGGCCACGTATCAGATTACAGGCAGGAAAACTAGGAAAACCTTACAAAACCCCAAACGACTGAAACTGCGAATGAAAATGGGGAAAAGTGGGGAAAGCGGAGCAGTGGAAGCAAACACGATTCGTTTGCATGTTACAAGGCGTCTGGCTTTTGGTTTTCGTTTTGGCTTTTGGTTGGGGGATTGGGGATTGGGGTTCGGGGTTCGGGGATTGGGGATTGGGGTCTGAGGACCCGATGGTCTCAAGTGACTAGGGGTTTGGGGCTCTCCGTGGTTCGGACTACAAGGAAGCCAAGCAACTCAATTAGCCCGAGGAAAACTAGACTGCCGACGGGTTGGGGAAGTGTGTTCAATTGGATAGTTCAGTTCGACTTGGACTTACATGAAAGAGTTTTACACAAGTGTCTAGCTTAAAGAAACTGAAAAATTAGAGGGTATTTCAGAGAAGTTAAGTGATATAAACGATTAAGAAAAGAAAATTATACAATATTCCCAACTTCTTTTAAATAAAAACAACACAATTTAATAGCTTAAAATAATAAATATCATATCATAGTGTGATATGCACACTTTAAAAGAGGTCACAGAGCAATAGACCACCTCCAAAGGATCATATCTTATTTATAATATAACCATTGAGTCCTCGCAGCAGGATCCCCATTTAGAGGTCACCACGTTGTCAGTGGAACAGAAAGCCATTCCTCATAAATTATCATTACCCCCAAAGGGGAATCAGCAAACTGAAACCGAATCCGAATCAAAATCAGAATCGGAACCAAAATCAAAATCAGAATCAGAATCCCCGCAACGAAATCGGAGTCATAATCAGAAGGCCGGGGGCTTAGTCCTGGTAAATATTAATTGAATGATAGGCATCTTTATGGTACAGTAGCGAGTAGCGAACGAGATCCCGGGGTGGCTCGATTCTGGATGCTGGATTCTGGATTCTGGATGCTCGATTCCAAGTGAGAGGGCGTTGATTGCAACCAATACAAATAACGTAATAATTTTACGCAGCTTATCTGCACCAGAACAGAGCAAACATTTACGCCCAAATGTTTTCATTCGCCGTCCGAGGGTGCGGATTGGGTTTTTTTGCTCGATGGTCGGGGGTTTCGGAGTTCGGGGTTCGGGGTTCGAGATTCAGGACTCGGGATTCGGGGGGCGGACGGCTGCCATCGCTGGCAGTCATAAATCACAGGGAAACCAGCAGCAGAAACAGCAGCATCCCAGTCGGCACCCCTAAAACCACGCTTTCAGACACTGTGCACTAAAAGAAATTCAGGGGACTTTTATAGTAAAGTCCATATCGCAGAAAAATGGTGGCTACATACAATATATGTAATTCTTATTTTTCATGGGGTTATGCATAATACTTCTATGTTTTAGTCGCCTTTTTATATATTTTTTTTTAATCACGAAAAAGGGGATTTACTCTATTTTAATGTATTATAGCGATACGTTTATTTTCCATTAATTTGCATTAGACTATATTGTAAATTCTTTTAAAATGGTAAATAATTTTGAAAAAGTCCGTCATCATAAAATGATATATACAACATTTTTCATTTGAAAAATTGAATCACTTTTTGTTTGTATATTTTGTTATTCAAGATAAAAGATAATTCCAAATAGCTTTATTGGGGCAAGTGAATACGCTGATTAAGTAATTTAAAAATATAAACGGTTTTTAGATATTTATGTTTTGGAGCTTTAGGTTAAATGGGTAATACGTTTGGGTATCGGAAACGCCTCATATCATATACATTGCATATCATATCTCCGATGGGACTTAGTTCTATTATCCACTTTTTGCATGGTGTAGCTACCCCTTATCCTTGCTCCCTCCTTACCCTTCCCCTGCCCCTTCCCCCTCTTCCTTTTGTCACCTCGGATTCCAGATATATTCGCCTCGTTTTCAGCTGTTCTTCGTCGGTGGTTGGAAAACCAGAAAGAGACGGCAACAATGGGTGCGACAGAGAGGACAGAGGGAGCGCACCTAAACTTAGCCAACTCTTTTTTCTATACGTTTTCCATTTTCCCTTTTTTCCTTTGTTGCAAAAGGATTTGTCTGCAGCGAAAAATGAGGGGAGCGAGAAGAAGAGCCGCAGAAGGGAAAACTTTGCCGCACAGCTGTTTTATAAAATTAATTTTCCCATTGCGGATTAACAATTTCCACTCTTTTCGCTCGCACATTTCCCTCATTCACGTTTGCGAGAAAGAGAGCATATATGGGGCTTAGAAAGAGACGGGGCGAGAGGCGAGATTTATGCATAATTTTCAATTTGTTAATGCAATGTGAAAAATTATATGTGTGTTTAGCTAAAGGCAAAGCTAAAAGTCACTAAGGGATCTAGCTTGATAAAAAAAATGGAGGGAAAATTATATTAGATTGCCTTATTGATTAATTAGTAATACTCCAAATCAATGAAGAATTTGTTTAATTTTGTTGATGGTAAACAAGATTTTTGAAAACCTTTGTTGTTTTTCAATAAAAGTCACCAACTGTGCCTTAAAGTATTTTTAAAATTTTTCCCGAACACTAACAGTTTTTCCACAATCTTTTAAACACAATTTCCAAAATAGTTTCAAAAATGAAAACCCAAAAATAAAAAGTTTTAAAAATATATATTTTAAGGAACAACAAAATGTATTTCCAATAATATAACCATTACAACAACATATTTAAAGAATGCCTTAAAAAATGTGCCCTCGCCAAGTTTACTTAAGAAATGTATATTGGAAAATTTGGGAAAATTTTTCAAGCACCGGAAGCCCGGAATTTCCCACAGCCTCAACAATTCGCCTCAAGTGTTTGCCTTAGTCAAGTGTCCCTCTCACTTTACTGGGTGTTTGCGTTTGTTTGTTTATTTGTCAGGCGGGGGCGTGAAAGTGGGCGTGTGCCGATGGCCAGCGGCTGCAATTTTCCCACATCAATTAGTTTGCCCGGCGAGCAATGAATAAATTATGCGGGGGTGTTGCCGGATAGAATGGGATGGCATTGGATATGGGGTCTCTGGACCCACAACAAGTGCAAAAAGTCACGCGCCGTTGTGCTGGCAAATAGAGAGAGGAAAAGTTACATCAACAGCCGGCGGCGGCCAAAAATTGACTCGATTATATTGTCACACGGAATCACTCCCCACTACGCATCGCCCACAGAATCGCCGGGGAAACCCACCGATAACCACCCACTCGTCCGGCCCTTGGGCGGAAAACGCATCCCTTTTTGGACCGGTGGCAGGAGCAGGGGAGACGGGGGGCAGGAGGCAGGAGGCAACAATAAACAGCCCATAAAGCGGCACACGCGAGCGCAAGGAATTCACTTAGCCTTGTTTGTTATGCTTAAGGGGCTGCAAACAATCCGCTAAGTGCCAGTTCAGGCGGTTTAACTATTTTGCAGCTGGAATTGGGCATTTTATAGCCAGAAATTTGAGAATTTTTACCTATTTTAGACTATTTTGCTGAATATTTTTATTTGATTAATCCATTAAAGGTACCTATAAAGTAAAGCAAACCTTGAAAGAATATTAAATGAATTCGGAAGTCATGATTTCCATGAGATCTAGAGGACTTAAAAAGCATGCTTTAAAACTATGGCAACTCTAGCCACTAAAATCAGAACCGCAATAAAAATGTGGTAACACAACCAATGAATCAAGACAATTTCCTCAACCAAAGGTCTAGGGAATAAGCATTACAACTGCTGCAATCGGCATATTCCGACAATATTTCAATACCCAAAAACTCTGGCAACTCTGGTCGACCCAAAACTCTGCTCGCCAAGCAGTCGAAAAGCAAAGCTAAAGCAGGGAACAGCAGTCGAGCAGGCTGACTGCATGGCAAATGTTATTTCAGTGATTTGTTGTTTGGGGTTGGTGTTGCTTGCTAATGGCTTGTGCTTTGGTAAACAGCTGAATTTATTACCGCTCCCCACCCACGGACACACCCCCCCTTTTCACAATTTCCCGCATTTCCCTCCCCCTTTTTGAAGTTAACACTTGCCACGCGGCTGCGGCCACTCGAGCATTTCATTGCCGCTTTCTTTTTTTTTTTTGTTTTGGTGGAGAGTACGAGGACGAACCTTTCCGAAAAAAAGGGGGAGCCAGAAAAAAAGAGCATTAAACAAGGCGTATCAAATTTCATTATTTGTCAGCCCAGCGCTGCTGATGCCAACCCCCTCGAATCTCGAAATCTTGAAATTCAATTTCAATTTTCAATTCCATTTTGCATTCGTAAATCCCCCTTTGTGATTCCGCCTTCGCCCGCTCTGATTTCCTATACCATTTTCTTTGATTCCGTTTAATGAACTGCTCGCAAATTTCATAATAATATTGACAACACTAAGCTTGGGAATTTTTGCAAATTTTAGCAGAAATTTAGACAACATTTGGCAATGTTTAAAACCGATTTGATTTGTCCTTCTAATGAACTTCAAAGGAAACAGAGGGTGGGCCCAACTTCAAAGCGTTTTCATTTTTAAATTGTTGGCTCGTTTGCGGTTTTACCTTGTTTTTTGATTTTCATCGGGGGTAAGGAGCTTCACAATTTGTAGACACACGATTTGCTTGAATAGCCACGAATTTGTTGTATCGAAATTGAGCTTATGGTCGATTGAGTTTAACAAAGTCTTTTGGGGGACACCAAATTTAAAGTGCGGTGGAAAAGAAAGTGGAGCATTTTCAGGATTTGAGAAATTATATTGTATTACAGTTTAAAATGTCTTGAAACTTTTAAATGGAGCAATATTTGCTTATTTTAAAAAATATTAATTCAAATTCTTTCTCAGGAAATTATTAAAAGAACATTTTTAAAATCTATAAAATTTCTTAAGTCACACTTATAAAATCTAAAACAATTGATCCCTAAAATAATGAACTAACTATAACGTAACCGTAAGCTTAAATAACTTTTTCCAGTCACAAAATGTATATCTTAAATTCTTCATAATTTGGATAATCAAATCTGAATAACTTTTTTTTATGTAAAAAAAACCAAATCTTAAAATCGATACTGAATTACTGAAATAATTGATCACTATATATAAAACATTAGATCGCATTTAAGGAAAGAATTTGGTTTTGACTGGGTAATTAAGACGTAAGGATTCTCCTTTTATGATGCTTAAATAACCCCTTTCCAATTCATATTTGTTCCTTTTATTGACTACTTATCTTCGTATTTTAGAATCATACTAGTATTAGGACTTTCATGGTTGACACCCACTTATTAACCCGTTTCTCCTTTATGTTGCAGGTGTGGTTCAAGAACCGCCGTGCCAAGTGCCGCCAGCAGTTGCAGCAGCAGCAGCAGTCGAACAGCTTGAGCAGCTCGAAGAACGCCAGCGGCGGTGGCAGCGGCGGCAGTTGCGGCAGCTCCTCGGCCAACAGTCGCAGCAACAATGGCAACAACAACAGCAGCGGCAACAGCAATGGCAATTCGCAGGGCAACAACAAGTCCAGCCAGAAGCAGGGCAATTCACAGTCGAGCGGATCGTCGGGCAACAACAACAACAACAGCAACAACAATTCGGCGGCAGCGGCGGCCAGTGCAGCGGCAGCGGTGGCAGCGGCCCAATCGATCAAGAGTGCGCACCACAGTTCCTTCTTGAGCGCCGCAGCGGCGGCAGCGTCCAATCAGTCGGCCCAAAGCAGCAACAACAACAACAATCAGCAGCAACAGCAACAACAACAACAAGGCGGCAACTCAACGCCCAACAGCAGCAGCAGCAGCGGCGGCGGCGGCGGCGGTTCGAGCGGCCACCTCTCAGCGGCAGCGGCAGCGGCGGCCCTCAACGTGACCGCCGCCCACCAGAACTCCTCGCCGCTCTTGCCCACGCCGGCCACGTCGGTCAGTCCGGTGAGCATTGTGTGCAAGAAGGAGCACTTGTCCGGCGGCTACGGCGGCGGCGGTGGTGGCGCCTCCTCCGGCGGCCTCAATCTGGGCGTTGGTGTGGGCGTGGGCGTGGGTGGCGTCGGTGGCGTGGGCGGTGTGGGCGTCTCGCAGGATCTGCTCCGTTCGCCCTACGATCAGCTGAAGGATGCCGGCGGCGACATTGGGGCCGGGGTGCATCATCATCACAGCATCTATGGATCGGCGGCGGGCAGCAATCCGCGACTGTTGCAGCCGGGCGGCAACATCACACCGATGGACAGCAGCAGCAGCATCACCACCCCATCGCCGCCTATTACACCCATGTCGCCGCAGTCGGCGGCCGCAGCGGCACATGCCGCCCAGTCGGCCCAGTCCGCCCATCATTCCGCCGCCCATTCGGCGGCCTACATGTCCAACCACGATTCGTACAACTTCTGGCACAACCAGTACCAGCAGTATCCCAACAACTATGCCCAGGCGCCCAGCTATTACTCGCAGATGGAGTATTTTAGCAACCAGAATCAGGTGAACTACAACATGGGCCACTCCGGCTATACGGCCTCCAACTTTGGGCTCTCCCCGTCGCCGTCCTTCACCGGCACGGTCTCCGCGCAGGCCTTCTCCCAGAACAGCCTGGATTACATGTCGCCGCAGGACAAGTACGCGAATATGGTGTAGAACCTACTCTTCCAGTACTGCAGTGGCGGCAGCAGCAACAACAACACTTCGGGGGGCAGTGGAAGTGGATCGGGATCGGGTTCAGGATCGGGTTCGGGATCGGGATCGGGATCTGGGAGCAATAGTTCCCCACAACTGGAGCCACATAACCATCATCATCATCAGCAGCAGCAACAGCAGCACCAGAATCATCATCACCATCAACAGGATCACAACCTGGATCACTCCTTTGGTTAAGTGGGTGCCAGAGCATCCCATAGATACATATCCACACCACTATAGATACACACCCCCCCCCACACTCTGCTGCTTTCTCAGAACTTATGCAAAGACAAGGCCCCAAGATAAAGTTCCTTCGAGATCATATTTAGTGGAGGGAATACTGTTAAAGGGAATAAAGTCAGTTCCTTTATATGTTGAGATTACATACGAAATTCTTAAAGGTCCCAAAAGATCGAAAAGATTCTTCTTGACTCCTATAAATGCATAATGATTTATACAAATTTACCTTATATCACAGATGTTTTTTTTTTTTAATATTTATATCATCAAAAAAGGCCATGCGATTGTTAGATTAATTAAAATTCATTTAGATGCATAGAAGCCATTAAGATTCAAATAGAGTTTATTAACTGAAATTAAAATACCACAAACTGGAACGTTGGCAAGCTTGAAAATGATAAAGTTCAGTGAAGTGCTCAACGAAAAAGTGAACGTTTTTAAGAAATTTGGATAGATTTCAGATAGATTTTTATAGATTCAAGAAGAATTTTTGTAATACCACAAATTTGAGACATTTTCTAGCAATGACATTTATTATTTAGCAGTGCTCAGATCCACCAAACATGATCGAGAAAGGAAAACGCCGCAGGGCAAAGTTATATATTTTTTTTTTTGTAGTTAACAACAATTTTTTTTTACATATATACATAGTAAACCCCTAAACTAGAAGCGTGTGTAAAAAGTGGAGATCGAATAAAATGAGTTACAAGTTTATACAACCCAAGACATAAACGTAAATCTATAACTAAACATAGGTATTATAGACCTAGCTTAAGCCGCCAGGATCAACGAAGAAAATGAGTGATAAATCGAGGAAAAACCCATGGCATAAATTGTTAAAATCCAAGGAGTAATATGCATGCGAAGGGTTCGAAAAGAAGGGCGTAATTTGTAAGTCGGATGGAGAGTTTTTAAATGCAATACGTAGACCATTCCATGGTACAGCCAGGGGGTTGGGGGTCCCCAAAAAAAAAACAATGAAAGGGGGGCTTGGGGATCCCCTGGAAATCCAGAGCTGCACCAAAATCACCAGCGTGGTGGCTTGGACCAGCTCAGCATATCATAAAGCTAAAACTTAATTCCAATTTCAAGTTCTTTAAACCAAACTAAGACATAACATTACTAAAACGAGAAAAGCAAAAAAAGAAGTTTAAAGTTCAAATCATCATTTTGTCGTCTTTATATAACAAACAAAAAACAAAAAAAAAACAAGAATATTTATACATAACATATAAATGATATATAGAGAATACAAACCCCAAATCAGCTAAAACGAATTAACATTTCAGACTTAAAAAGCATATAATAATGTAAAAACGGAGGCCCAACTAAGGGAATCCGCGGAAAAGGCAAAAGTATTTAGCAACTAAGCGACTCGAAATGATAAAAACAAATGATGAAAACTCCACACATGACGATTGATTGATATATATTATATATAGGAAATTTTATTGCAAATAAAAAACAAGCCACAATCCAAAAGCGAAACAAAAAACGACAGCAAGAAAATATTTATAAAATAATTTAAAATAATTTTTAAAAAATGTACAAAAACCTAAAAAAACACATGGAAAATTCTTGGTAAATATATATATATATATATATTAATGATATATATGTGTGTGTGTGTAAATGTTCTTCATAAAGTACGCTAAAAGATTTATAAATATATATAAACAAATAACAAACAACTTTTGTAATATTAAACCACACACACGACGTAGACAGACACACAAACAAAAGTTAGTTCAATGGAGTTTTTCTGGAATTTTTTGTTTAGTTTTAATTTCAATTTAATTGTAATTTAAGCTTAACAATTTGTTTAAAAAACACAATCACACACTCACACACACACACAACGACAGCCACACACACACATACACACACAAACACCAACACACTCATAAACAAGAAGTATGTAAGGAAAATCGAAGAATATTTAGCATTTAATTCACTAAAACTAAGAACATTTTTTTTCCGCGGGATACATTTTAAGCGAAAAACGATGTAAGATGATGTTGGACGGAGGAAAAAGATAAACAAAATTAGTTATTAATATTTAAGAGCGGATCTATATATACAGCATATATAATTATATATATATGATCCCTATATAAATATTATATATAATTATATGCTAACGTTTAAGCAAACTGGTTAATTCTTTTTTTTTTTTTAATTATAAAACCGAAAGAAAAACTAAAATAATTGTAAAAAGTTCACAAAAATATGATCAGATGAATAATATATATATAAAGAAAAAAACATAAACACGTCTTTTTATTTATTCGAAATTCTACAGGAACAGGACTGCAAATTTTAATTTTTCAAGGACTTCTTATATCTATCATCCTGGAATCTCAAGTTAAACTCTTTGAAATCATCAAAATCATTGTCTTTATGGAAACCAACAAATCTCTGGAAGATATATGTTTTTAATTGTTACTATAAATGATAAGGCAAAATTATTTTAATTTATTTTAATTTTTGGCTTGCTGAAAAGAAAGTTTATATTATAGTGGAACACCTTTCATTCTTACAAAATAATTGAGAATATTCTTTTGACACAGATGTTGCTTTGAACAGGGTTTGTTATTAAATAAAAGGTTCAATGATTTTTAAAAACATTCCATTGATTAAAATATTTTCATATATATTATTCGTTATTTAATTGTTTATATTCAAGCTGTACCACTCTCCTATTTTTTTTTGGGACTACACTCTCTTTAAAAAAAAAACCTCCTTCTAAACTGGGTTGAGTCATAAATCTGCGGACCTGAGAGAAACCTGGGATAAATAACTGCGGTCAGTCCGTGGAATTCGGCTGGGCAAACAAACCTGATCCTCTGTGGCTACCAGAACATTCCGCGATTGTCGGGGCCAATCACTTCTGATTTTCCAGTGGTTGTTTGTTTGCATTTGGCACGCGTCTGCCTTTGCCGTATTGCGAATCGCCTTCTGATCCCAAAAAAGCCCTTCGACCGTCAGCGCCTTGGCAACAATTGTGGCAACTCCAACTCCAACTCTGATTCTGAGTCCCATTCCCATTCCAATTCCAATTCCCATTCGCAGTACGAGTCCAAAGCGAATCGGGCGAGGCAGGGCGAGTCGAGTCAGCCATCATCATCATAAACCATTAATTCAGCTCATAAAACTTGCCACGCCCCGACCCACGACTACACTCAACGAAACGGGGATTAGATGGCCAATAATACATGTACTTTTAGTGCTTTCAATGGGTTCAGCGAACTCATACTTTGCGTCGGGTTTTCAATTCGGTTAAATTAGACGGTTTAAACACAGAACAGACATATAACATTACATTTATGACTTAAAACTATAGAAAATGATAGTAAACACTATTCAACTATTAAATAACAAATGACCAATACGTTTTTATATTTGTAAACTCACAAAATTATACAAATAAATGTCTTCAAGTCCATTTTTACGTTTCAGCAAAACCTCAAAAATAGGTTTATTAAAAAATGGGTCAAAAAAAATATCAACTTTTATGGAGATCATTTCTGATGGTGGTAAATTATTGTGTATGTGTGCACAAAAAATGTAACCATTTTACCTCACAAAATTGATACATAAAATTTAATATTTTTATTAAAAGATCCTCACGACTTTTTTACCTCGTTAAGAGGTGTTTTTGCTTGATTATTATTTAATGCTATGTCTGCCATATTTACCTCTAACATTTTAAATACATGCTCCTAAAGGTCAAGCTTTATCGTACAATAAATTTCCGCGAAATGGAAGAGCTCATCCTGGCCCTGCTGTAAATAAGTTGGCTTTTCCTTTTAACGAGCCCACTTCAAAGTTAATCTACGTCGACCGCTGCCGCTTGTTATTTGCGATTAATTATGCTAATGAAAATGCTGGGAAATTCATTTGCCATTTGCGGCTAATTGTCGCACCAGCTGGCGGCACGTGCTGCGGCTCAATCAGATTGCGAATCGGAGAAGCCAGAGATATCTGGGCGATCCATCGATTTGGGAACCAAACTTCTCCAATGGCCCCCTTTACCTTTGTTCAGTCCTATTCCACTTCGTGTGTGTTATCTGACGAGGCACGCGACCCATTTCTATTTCCATTTCCATTTCTATTTCTTTTTTCCATTTTCATTTTCATTTCCATTTTCACTGGCTATCGGAGAGGCAAGAACCCAGAACCCCAGAACCCAGAGCACCCAGGCAATGGCAATCCATCTCCATCGGCAGTCGTCGTCATCAATGGGCGCGTGTTGCTTATAGAATTACCAACTAATTCGGTATTTATGAGGCTTCGTCGAGTGCATTTTGCGGGTCTAGGAATCGCCGGTCTCGCTTCGCAGGTTGTGCGGCTTTTGGGGGCAGTGCCACCGGAGGAAGCCCGCAAATTGAGATGCCAACCCCGGCAGGAAATTGTTTTTAATCTTCCGCTGCGCCTTTTAGCGGCACGTAACCCCCGGCGAAGAGCGGCGCTAAAATAAAATAGCATCCGCATCCGTATCCGCATCCGCATCCCCATCCGCATTCGCATTCGCCTTCGCATCCGCATCCCGATGAAAGTTTTCTTTTCTATTTCAGGGTGGCTAACTGGGACCAGATTTCCCAAACAGCAGCGATAAGACTGAGTTCCGTAGATATACGTCCAAGATTGGCCCGAAAAACTGCCAATTAATTTTCGGGTTGCAAAAGATAATGCCCTTAGTTGGAATCAATTGGATGCTGCCCTGGTTTATCGTGGCCAAAATGTTTCCTAATTGGATACTCAACCTTTAGTTGAGCACATGAAATTGGCTTTCAAGATCTACATCATTAAATATTATAGGATGATTGTGTAAATTGAAACAATATATATTTCTATATTTACAAGTTACGTAATTAATGTTTAATTCGACGATGTCGAAATATTATATATTATTTAGTCATTGGTGCAAAAAACAAATTTTTTATTGTATTTATAAAGTGTATTCCATAGAAAAAACTTAAACAATCTAGTTGTCAGATACAAATGTATTTCCCGCCTTAAATAACTATAAACATGTGACAAAGTGTTGAATAAAATGTGCTAGATTAATATAAGCTTACAAATATTAAATTAATTAAAAAAGGAATACGGGCTTACCCCTAAATAAAATTAATTTTTAGCACAAAATATAACATATTTATGCTTTATATATTACTTTATCACTTTATATATTTTCATATTCAAGGAGAGTATATATACGCCTATAGGTGTGATTAATGTTATTAAAAAATATTTCGTTGTTTTTTAGTTACTAACAAATAATAGTTGTATATATAGTAATTTAAGAAATTATACATTTTAATCAATGTTATTAATAAACCAAATTAACAACCATAACTTCATAATTATTGTGTATTGCTGTGTGTGTATTGCTCTATCTTAAAAATGCATTTATGACTTCGTATGTACATCTTCATTTAACAAATAACAAACATTTAACTATACTCCTTGCAATTTGTACTCCCCGAAACACACTAGAGTGGACCGCTTTTGTTGACGTTCAGTTTCAGTGGTTGGCTGCCGGTGGTCGATTTGTCAGCCGCCACGTGACCGCTCCCTCATCTGATTAAAAGCCACTGAAGTCCCATGAAGTCCAGATGCCGATCCCGATCCTTCGGCAGGATGATGAGATGATGCCACCCGTCAATGTTTTCATCTTTCACGCTGGGCGACGGCGGCTGCCTTTTTCCCATTTTATTTATCAACTTAATTTCTGGCTTGGCTTCGGCTAATGGAGAGCCATGTGAACCATGAGAACCATGAGAAACACCCCCAACCACTCCAAACACCCCAATGTCCTTGCAGTGAGAGAAAATTCTGGGTAGCTATAAAATACTATACAAAACGTGAGTATAAATCAATAGGATATTCTACAACACAAACAGTTTACAATGTTTCCCTTTTCATTTAAATTGTTATTTGTAATTGACTTATTTAGCAGATCACTTTGTAATTTCAAATTAAAATACAAATTGCTTAACATTTGTATTTCATTTAATTTTTAACTACTTTTTTATTTACGATATAATTTTGTTGAACACATTTTTGGGTTTTTAAAGATATCATCAATATGTCCTATTAAGATATAATTATTATTCATATATCGATTTTATGTTTTCGAATAAAAATCATTATATCTTGAGATAAAAAGTGTAAAGGTAATACAAATCAAAGTATAAAATTATAAATATATCACATATCAAATAGCCATTTTTCCTTTCGCTTTAGCTGGTAAGCATATGTACTATTTTCGAATATAAAATACTTTTTTCTGTGGCGAACTTACCCCTGCTTTCTGGCAGTGCAGCCACCCCGTTCGGCGGCGCCTGCTGCACTTGCCCGATAATGTGCGGCGTGTGTGTTTATTTTGATTTCCAGCACGTAACTCCGCCCCGACACCCCGGAAAGCCCCCGGAAAACCCTGAAAAGTCCCCGCAGCAGGTTGAACGGCTTCGCCTTTGAAGTGGTCCGCTGATC